ATTCTTGATGTTTTGTTTCACTTTTTAAATAGATTAAGATGTCATCAATAAAGACAACTATGAACTGGTCTAGATAGGGTCTAAAAATTTGATTCATGTAGTCCATAAACACTGTTGAAGCATTAGTTAGCCCAAATGGCATTACCAGGAACTCATAGTATCCATATCTTGTACAAAAAGTAGTCTTAGTGATATCTTTTGCTTTAACTCTAAGTTGACGGTAGCCTAACTGCAAATCAATCTTAGAGAAGACTGAAGATCTCGCCAGCTGATCTAATAGATCATCTATTCTAGGTAAGGAGTACTTGGTTTTTGATTGTTACCTTGTTCAGTTGTCGATAATTGATGAACAAATGCATACTCTCATCTTTCTTCTTAACAAATAACACTAGGGATCCCCATGAGAGTACACTGGGTCTAATAAACCCTTTCTCGAGAAGTTCCTCTATTTGTCCTTTTAATTTATTCAACTCGGATGGAGACATTTGATAAGGAGTCTTAGATATAGGATGCCTGGCATTGAATCAATTGCAAACTCGACTTCTTGTTTAGAAGGTAACCTAGTCATTTTCTTAGGAAAGACTTCTGAAAATTCCCTTACCACATCAATATGATTGATTCCTTTCTCAGTATTTATTTGTATTAAAAACAACACTGTGCAAGCTTGACACTCTTTTTGTACACATGCATCTACTTGTACGACATATAAGAATATTGACCCACTAAACGGTCCTATAGGCACCACATCTCCAGGGAAGACCACTACTTTTTTTGTACAATCTAGCATAGCATTATTATGTGATAACCAATCCATCCCAATAATTACATTCATCCTTTGTAATGGCAAACAAATTAGATCTATTATTGTTCTACAATCTTTAAAATCTAACATAAGGTTTAAACAAGCCTGGGTCATTTTAACGGATAAACTTGTAAGAGTAGACAAACTCAAAATAATAGGCATCTTGAAGATGTGCAAATTGGAATGCAAGACATACTTATAAGAAACAAAGGAATGGGTAGCACTAGAATCAAACAGTACTTCGACATTATGTTCCTATCATACATTTGATGGTGTTAGGAGCAGTACCCACTTCTTCCTACGTGATAGAAAAGATACGGCTTGACATTATTGATTGAGTATCCCGAGAGTTCTGAGCATTATGCTAATTCTTAGGGCAATAATGAGCAATATGTCCCATTTTATGACATTTATAGCATTCCCAACATTTTTCAGGATGGTTTCTTCCACACTATAAGCAAGGTCCATGAACAGTAGGGGTTGACATCATTGATTCATGATGAGTGATCGGGCTTTTATTAAACTAAGATCTTGAGATTATATTCTTCTGGGTTGAACCCTTCTGTACAGATTTCTTGTGGCCTAGACTTTGATTTTTCCCATATGGACCTACACTTCCGGTGCCAGTATTATTTCTCTTACTAACCCCTCCAGTTGGTCTGGGGTACGAGGAGAACTGCCCTTGAGAATCCTTTTGCGAGCTTCTTCAGCCTCATAAGTCCGCCTAATTGCAACTCGAAGGTTGGTGCACATGTCTTCAAAGTCAGTCACTGGAACTAGGGCTAGTTGTTACTTCAAGTCTGGTTTAGCTCTTTCTCGTAATTGCCTAGCCATCCAACCTAAGTCCTTATTCCTCCTCAACAATGTCACATATTTGCATAGGCCTATAAACTTAGTGATGAAGTTGTCTTCATGCATATTGTTTTGTTATAAGGCAAAGAACTCTGATTCCTTATCCTGACATAGGGTAGGTGGGAAATAGTGATCGAAGAACATCCTCTTAAATTCATTCCAAGTGACTTATGAGTCGTCAGCTGGGCTCACACTTTCCCACCAGTGCTTAGCTTGTCTTTCTAACAGCACAATAGCTACTTGCCCCTCATGCTAAGAAGTGCAAGGGGTAGTTCTTAAAATGGTCTCTGATTTATCAATCCAACCTTCCACTTTAACCGGATTCATGTCACCCTTAAATCTCAGGGGATTACGATGGCTCACATCTTTCCATACTATTTTCATTGAAGTGTCCGCCAAACGAGTTTGTTAGATAATTTCTGTCCTGCTCTTAGCACTTAGAGCACCTTGCTTTCTAGATCACAAGTCACCTATACCCTTAATCTCAACTGGGTTTTCTTCTGCTCCAATGTTAGAATTCCTTTTTCCATTTATATCCTCCTCCAGCTTTTTAAGCCTTTCTTCCACTACTTTAGCACTACCTGTCATAATTATGTCAGTAGAACCTCGTTATTCTGCTGTTGAGGTTGCTTAAGTAGTTAATCACTAGGTTGCTTAAGAGGTTAATTTGGACAAAAAGAAGCCTCCTCCATTATGGGTTCAATTCTTCATGGTCTTGTCATTTTTCCCACCTAAGGATGGAACTCATGAATACAACCAAAAGAAAGAAAACACAAGAAAAGTAAGGACATTTCAAGAAAGTTTATGCAATTATGTATATTACCACAATATGCATGCAGGAAGCAATTCAGAATCATGAAAAAGATAAAACCGAAGGCTTTGAATACCAAAATGTAATGTCACCACTTATCTAACTAGAACTAACCATAATAAAAAGGAATAAAACCATACAAAATACCCTATCATGATTATTTAAAAGCAATCACATCTTGAAGGGACTAACCATAATAGAAAGGCATTCACCCTTAGTTAAGGCTATCATGGTTAGAGAAAAGAAATAACTTATCATCTGTAATCAACATACACCATCATATAGCACATTCACACGTAAACCATGTTAGGAAAGATTAATCATAACTAATATGGTTATAAAACAACACACCCCTAATGGATAAATTATAATAGCAGTTCAAGTTTGACTATCTCAATCAATACTAATAATGACTAAACTTGTAGAAATTGTCATTATCACATCGTGGATCCACAAGTAATTCAATTACATACAACCTAAGGGCCTCAGGCCCACTACCAGTACTTCAAACCAATGTCCAGACAAAATAAACCAAAAATAAAAGATGCAATACGTTCATCAAGACAAACAACATAAAACTATGAGAAAGTATAATAAGTTCCAAATGAATGCTATCTTGATGCATGGCAATATATAAAAAGATAGTATAAAGTAAGGTCCAGAAGCTCTATACTGTCAGCTACAGCTATTGAGCCTCAGAAGTCTTCCCCGAAGTTCTTGCTAACATATTATTTCCTAAAAATGGTAAAACAACAGAAGTGAGACAACATCTCAATAACTAAATCCCTACCTATCACACACCCTAGCATGGGCTAGCAAGGTGTCAAGTAGGATACGTAGAGTTAGTAACAGTTAATAGATACTTATTTAACATTTAAACTTACAATAACCATATAAGACAAATATTTCCACCAATCTCATGTAGGTCATAATTTCAAAAGAGATAACATACTTTTCATTTATTTAAAAACTATAAATATCAGTAAAGATCCCATATCATATGCAATTCATGAACCCAAATCCATCCTTATATCCTTCTTATTTCCACCAACTGGACCCATGGGTTAAGTTCTTTCCATTTGATTGGCTACTCTGACAAGCTCACCACACGAGTGGTATAGACCGGCCAAAGACCACAGAACACTCGGTAAACCATAGGTCCCATCTCGAAGAATTAGTGGGGTGTTGTAGTCGCTCGAAAAACTAGTGAAACAATAATAATGGTCAACCATAGAGCTCTATATGGAGGCTAATACTACGTGGCAAGTACATAAATCTCAGTAACTCTAGTCATCTTCTTCCCCCATCCAAACTAAATGCACAGGGTCTACAATAGCATATTTATATGTGTAATCAACAGAATTCTAGGATAATACCTCATAGTCATAATCATTAATTTCTAACAACACAGATGATTTCAATCCTTTTCAAAATAGTATCCCAAGAGACAATTCATACAAAACATAATATATGTCTACAAAAATTGGTTATAAACCACTCACCAACTTCATACTAGAGCATGCAACAAATAGAAATTTAGTTATCCAGTCTCTTAGCTAACTGTCAAATACAACCAACGCCCAATCTCGAAAACGCCACAATAGAGTTTATCTACAAGTGAGATTAAAATTTTATTTATGTAGTATTAGAGCAAGCTACTCACAAAATCCTAACCTCTAACTCCTCCTCTAAAAGCTTCAATTTTTACTTAGAATTCTAGCTCAAATGGCCTTTTTCTAAGGTTTAGAGTGAGAACATATATATATGATTTAGACTCGATTCCTAGATTTTTCTTAACTTAAATATCCTTTAATTATTAGGTTATGTCATTAGAATCATCAAATTCATAACGTACATAGAAAAACCCCAATTTATGACTTATGCTCTATCTTCGAAGGACTTAGATAAATAGATTTAATATGAATTAGGTTATTTTCACTACAAAAGTTAAATCATTGATCCGACTATTGAATTTAATTTCCTATCTATCATGATTCTATTCTTCAAATTATGGCTAGATCTAACGGTGAATGAATTTAAAAACGCTACTTTACTATTCAGGACTCTATCTACAAAATCTAATAAAAAAAAGTTGAAAACGTACCTAATAATTTGTAATTCAAAGATCGGATTAATGATCCAACTGTTGAAATTGATTATTTGGATGTCCTAAATGGTTTAACCAAATTTTAGTCTAATCTAACAGTTAACAGACTGAAAACTAATACTTTTCTGAGACTACCTCAAATGTGTGTGAAAATTTTTTACTTACTCCAAACTCTAACCACCATCTCCTATATATAGGCTTCTCAAGCTTCTTCACTTTAGTAATTAGTCAATCTGAAACTTCTATACTATGTTATACTTTTCTATTTCTATAATATCACACACACACATGCACACACACACCCAAAGCATGATTAATTCAAAACTGATTTGCCTATATTTAAATTTCCATTAACTTGATACTAAAATATATTTATTTATAAAATCTAGATATAAAAATAAGGATGTTACACATAGTCATATGTAGAACTAGTTCTGCAAACGTTGTAGAATCGCATCCTTCATCCCCTGGGCAGTCATGAAATTACTGGGAACCTTGACGACAACGTCTTGGAGCATTAGGTCTTTGACTCTTGAAACGCTGGCATGATGAACATGAAAATCAAGTTGTCTCAAAGCATCCATTAATCTGGCAGCTGGGTGGTTCACATCTAAGCTCTGAACCCTTATCATCGCCTCCGTTCCCACAATATTAACTTCCACTCCAAGCGAACTCGCTTCAGAACTCGAACAATGATCCATTATTCTAGCAGTTTCTTTTTCTTCTTCTGTGGTAGTTTTCTTAAATCTGGCCTCTAGTTCCTCAACTTTGGCCCTGAGTTGATTTATGTAGGTGACTGCGTCTGAGAGCAAAGAAGCTTTGTCCATTTTGGACACATTGGGAACAGCAGAACGAAGAGCATAAAATCTTTGGTTCAATCGCTCTCTTCTTTGCCTCTCGGCCTCTACGTGGTTTAGAGGCATTATTAGTTCTTGTCCTTTCATCTCAGCATCGTCATTTCTTCCCTTTTTTCTTGTGGGTCGAGGCTTGGATGAGGATGATCCGAAAAGAGCTTCAGAATCGGTGAGATCTTCGTTCTTGAAATGATGGTAATAAGGTTCAGAAGAAAGCAAACCCGGTGGGCTGGGGCTGATGAAGTTGTCAAACTCGAAAACTGATTTAACCGATTGAATCAAGCTCCAATCTTGGGTTATTAAGTCAGTAGAAGCCAACTCAAGAACTCCAAGTCCATTAGGAATGGGAATGCACACCAGAGTTTGGATTCCATGAGCAAAAGCTTCACGAACTCTCTCACACTCGTGGAGCTGGCTGCCGCCGGAGGAGGAGGCGGCGGCTGCAGCGGACAACCAAACATGTGTGGCTGAGCTGAAGGCACGGCCCACCACGTCTTCCCCGGCAGCGAATGATCTATTCAACGATACTGTGTAAAACCATTCCAACTCAGTCATATGCCCTTCGTCTTCCATGTGCTGGTTCGGAATCAACCTCATCTTCCTCGAGCGATTAGGGCTTCGCCATTGATCCCTCGTCTGGTTTTCCTTGGACTCGGACTCTCTGGTTCCACGAAAGTGGCCATCCGCCCAATTTAAGATTTGGCGCCTCGTACTGCTTCCCTCATCATCTTTCCAAGCTTGCCAGAAGATGATGTAAACCCACCACTCAGTAGTACGGCTATGCAAAATGAACTGAAGTCGCTGTTGAAGTGTGGCTGAGGTTTCAGAAACCATAGAAGACACAAGCGATCTGGATGATGACGAAGAACAAGACATGTGGGTGTCTGATCGAGATCCCCAATTCACTTTTCTCTTGTTAATTAATCAATGAGAAGTCGTAATCGGATTTGAGAGAAAGAGAGAGAAAGGAAGGACCAGGGACAGTAAAGGGGAAAATAGTATAATTAGCAGATGATAAAAGCTTTCCTGGAAGGGTTCTGCTACTATGTTGCATTAATTTCACGTGGGAATTCCAGAATCGATCCAAATGAACAAATGTGCCCCAGTGCGATGTACCATATCTATTAACTACGTGTAGCTTTTGAATTATATATCTTTCTTTTTTTTTTTTCTGTATTTTGATATTTCTTGAAATACCATTTCAGCGTTTTTATTTCATAGTATATGATATTAATATTAATTAGTTATACTTAATTAAAAAAAAGTAGAATATGATCAATTTATGACGAAATGACACTCGGCATAAACCTAAGACAAATAATATGATAACAAGATAGAATTATCATGAGGTCTCAAAAAAAAGAACCTGATTATAAAAAAAATCTTAATAATAAGTGAGTAGCATAAATCAGTTGTCATTTTTACAATGGAACTTGTTATTGCATACTCCTCATTTGTTAACAAATTTTAGGGTAATTAAATCTCTTTATTGGAACCTGATTGTAATTTTCCCTAATAACAATCTAGATTCTTGTCTTGGAATCATAGTGGAAAATAATTTTTAATTGTTAGTGATGTTATTTTCACATTTATTATAAATAACTAATTTATATATAGTTAACTAATTTTAATTTTTAAAATTTATGTAGATCAGTTTCTTAAGTAATGGTATACATGGAATATAACCATTGTAGCAATATATGGTAATCACAGTGGTTATAATTAATGAGGGCGGCGTGGTAGGAAAGGGACGTAACAATATATGACGTGTTTTCCATGTGCACTTATATGGGAGTAACGTGTAGAAGCCGCAGACATGTACTCTCAGCTTCCATAATAACTAGGAAAATCAAAGGTGCATGCATGGAATCACGACATGCTCTCAGATTTACCCACATTTATTGGACTATTCGCTTGAAATTATAACAAATTTTTGGCATAATTGTTTTAGGGTTAATACTACCTCCCGTCCTTAATATAAAATATTAAAAGTTAGTTGACTAATTTCAGTAGATTTAAAAAAAATTAATTAAATTAATTATTTATAATAAATAGGTGTTATTTTTCTTAAAATATTATTATTAATCATGTTTAATAGCTAGAACTATCATTTGATGAAACATTTAACATGTGTAACCGGTATAAGAACTATTTTAAGAAGGAAAAAAAGATAAATACGACAGACAAAATAGATTGGGTCTTATATTTAGAACTAAATTGAATATCAATCTAACTTTCATATTAAAGATTGAATGTAGGACAATTTTTAGCTAGTCTCTAAAATTTAGCCTCATTTTGGATTTAGTCCTTGAAATTTATAACAAGTAGTTTTGGTTTTGGAAATTTAACCTCATTCTAGTTTTGATTTTTGAAATTTGAAACTATTAGTTTTGGTCCTTGAAATTTGACCTCATTTTAGTTTTTGCTCTTGAAAAACATTGTTTCAGGGACTAAATTAAAAATCTTTAGGAAGATCAAAATGAAATTAAATTATAGGAATCAAAACCTCTGGTTTCAACTATCAAGGATCAAAATCAAAATGAAATTAAATTTCACAAACCAAAACCAAATTCAAAATAAGGTCAAATTTCAGCTCAAAATTATATTAAGGTGCACTAATTATTTTATAATTAATGTATAATTACATTTGAAACATATATAATAATAATTTTGAAGATTTAATTAATTGATTCCCTTAGTTTACTCTTTCATCTCAGAATAAGTATTCTAATCCACGGAAGTAGCTCTGTGAGTGTGAGAACTGGTAGTTGATTAGGGTTTTTTTTTTTTGGGCTAAATCCACAACGGAATCACAATATTATTAATCAATTTATTGCTTTTGCGGATCTGTTTATCTAAATTAACACGAAACTTTCAACAATTTGTATTACATTATAGTTCTATTTGTGAACAACAGTCCGTCTGTGAGGATCATCAAATCTCAAAAGAGATAATTTTTGAATATCTGTTGTCACAAAAAATATGAAACAGTTGTTGTTATATACATATATATATATATTAAATCAACACATAATAAATTGTCTGACCCTTTTTTTTTTTTTACAATTTCATTAATTTAGGTTTCAGAATATCTAAGAAAACAATCCCAAATATTATGGCTAAAAGGTAAAAGGAAATAATAATTAAATTAATTATTATATGTTTTGGCTAAAAGGTAATAATTATATATTCTTTTAAACATGTGAGTTAAAAGGCAAACAATTTGTCTTCATTAAGAAAAAAAATCAATTTCCTGAAAAATCCTCACATTCTTTTAAATCTTGCCATTCTTCTTTAACCGAGACAGGATTACATGGAGCATGTTTGTCCTGCACGTTGGTCACATATTCTTTGACCTTTCATATAGTCTATATATGTGTATTATGTGGCCTAATTTATAGAGCAATATGTCCATGTGCGATGTGTTTGTCCCTCGCGCTTTCCGCCCATCCTAGCACCCGCCTTAGACAGAAGTATTAGTATGCCCCGTCCTAAAAGTAAGATCCTCGTGACGAAAAGTTTTAGTCATCATATATTTAATGTTTGTTTTCTAATTTTATTTTTATTTAGTCGTTATTGAAAAAATAGAAAAAAGAAAAAGTTATGAGAATAATTTATAAATATAGAGAAAGAAATGAGAGAAGTGTTAAAAATGATATTTAGGATCAAAATAGTAAGATTTTAAATAAAAAATATAATTACTGAAAAGTCTCATAATAATCAAGCAATATAATTCAAGGGATGACAATAAATTCATCTTACTTGCTTGTCATGAGGATTTTTTAATGATTACTCTTTTAGTCTTACTTATAGAGAAGAGAGAGAAATTTTTCATATAAATGAACAATTTTACTCTTTATTTATTATTATGTTAATTTTGTTTTCATGGAGTAGGTATAATGCATATTAAATTAAGTATGATATATATTAAATGGGGATATATATATATATAGTTGGAAAGTTTCTTTGTTAGAGACACTAAATTAGTTTGTTGATGAATATATAATACTACCTCCGATCTTTAATATAAAAGCTAGTTGACTAATTTGAGTAGATTAAGAAAACTAGTTAAGTTAGTTATTTATAATAAATAGGTGTTGTTTTTTTCTAAAATATTCTTATTAATCAAATATACTGGTTAGAACTATTATAATTACAAGGACTATTTTAGGAAAAAAATGGATAAGTATGAAAAACAAAATGGGTTAGGATCTTATATTTAGAATCAAAATAAAAGTTAAATGAACTTTTATGTTAATGAGAGGAGGTAGTATCATCTATTGGGTTTGTAAAAATCTTTCCAGAGTTTAGCATTAGGACCCCATACAACTGTTGTAGGGGACGCAACTCAAAACAAAACTGGCTGGTCAAGGGAAAAAAAAAAAAAGAAACAAAGACGAATCTGAGAAATACATATTGCATTTATTTGCTGCGTTTAGTTTTTTATATTTGGTATGGGAGTTGATGCGGCTTTTTTTTTTTTTGGGGGGGGGGGGAGCTTTTTAATAATGTGTAATCTAAATATACTCGATAAGGGTCTATTGTATGCAAACAAACATGACAATTATGGTATAATGTTGTACAATAACCGTTAGGTAACCATGTAAATAACTTTTCTACCCCTCTAGCAATTTATTTATTATTTATTGGAAACAAATTTTGAACATCATGCCGTAATATTAGAACCAATATATTATTTATTTCATACTTAATCCGGTCTTCACTATAGACATGTCAACAAATTTATATAACTTAATAAATTTAATTAAAAATAGCTAATGTTTTTAAATTTTTAAATTAACTTTAAGAATTAAGTTTGCTAAATAATCAAAAAAGAAAAAAGTCTAGACAACTTGAGTAAAAGGAATGGAAATGGGCCTCGTAATAAACTGCAAAGAGAATAGTAAATAAGACAATCATGCGAATATAAAACGAATAGAATTAATGCATCTACTAATCACACAAAAACAAAAAAGAATTCTTTTGACCTGAAATCAACAAGTTTAGTCCAAAGTTGAAACATGATTAAAATTAGGTCATCAACAAAAATATAATTACTCTCATTGACCTTTTTCCTCACACAAAAAAAAAAAGCTTTAAGCCTCACAAACTGTATTTTAAAAGTTAATAACTTTTTAATTTTACTCCTATTTAATTTCATTTATATACTTTTCAAGAAAATAACTCTCAACAAAACTATAAATTACAGATAAATTTGTACATCTATATAATAAATTTAATCATGTGACTTATATTAAAGATAAAAAATATTTTCTTTATTTTATAAACAGGACCAAAAGAATATACTTTTATAAACTGAAACAGTTTTTTTGACCAGCATAAACTGATACAGTTTAATTTAATAAAATGTTTAGAAATAATGAACAATTTTTTTGTTTTCCCGTATGTTAGGCACATGCCCGCGCATACCAATATGGCTCTCACCTGCTTCTTGCTTGGGTCAACTTTTGTTCGGACTAGGTCCGACCATGCGTGGGCAAGTTCCGTTTATGGTTTGACAAAACCTGAACTAATTAAAGTCGAACACATGTTGGTAAGTGTGAGTAAAGTCCGTATATGTGTGGCAAAAAGCTTGGTTTATGGTGTTTTATTTGTGCTTTGCAGGCTCTTTTGAGGGTTTTGTTTTCTCTCTTAAGTACCCTCAAGGCAAGATCTTGCCTTTGTATTTTCAGAAAATTAAAGCAATTTTAATTTATTTTATTGTCATGACATTTTGATGTATAGTATTCCCTCCTATTCAAAATATAAACTAAATTTGATTGGAAGAGCTTGATTTTTTTTAAGATAATATTTATTTTTGTCTAAACATGTAATGGTTTTTTTTTTCAATTTTATCCATATATATTTTTTTCCTC